TCTTACACCGGTCTTCGTACAATACACCTGGTAAATTGGGAATCAGTCTGGTAGCTACATGATGCACTCGCCCAATCTTTTCTATCTCGCCCAGGGTGATGGGAGAATACGCAGGAGAGCCATACTCTAGCATTGGTCGTACTATAGAGACGAAGAGGACAGTGGAAATCTCTTCGGACCAAGAGCTGAAACTGCGTCTGAGCGCCCAAAGGATACGAATGCTGTTTTGGTAAAGCCTATTCGTGTTGTCCATGGACTTTAGGTCGTAGCGTGAGAGTACACCGAGGTCGCACACGAAAGGCACGGGATGCAACCGTTGACCGGCCACCGTGTAGGTTTGACTGCGCTCAACTTACCCAGCCTCATGAACTGCGACTTGACCAGGTTGATCAGAAGGTTGACTTCCGCAGGCCACGTGGAGGGGGTCAAGGTTTTGATGAAGCAGGGCACAATCATTGGGTGTGCGGATTACTCTCCACACCTTCAAGTCATCTGCAAACAGTGCACAAGGTGATTGGAGTAGCGGAGGCACATCGTTTACATAGATCAGAAACAAATCGGCCCCAGTACAGTGCCTTGGGGCACGCCACTGCTCGATGGATACCAGTCGGTCAAATGGTTGTCTACCTGGACCCTCCACTTTCGATCAACAAGGAAATTCTTGATCCACCGATGCAGCCAGCCGCCACCACCACACACCCTCAGTCTGTCGAGGAGCACTGCATGATTCACCTTATCAAAAGCCTTAATGAAGTCAATGTAAATGACGTCGACCGACTTACCTTGGTTCAGCGCTTGCAACTATTCGTGCCTCGTCAACAGTAGGTTGGTGATGCACGAGCGACCTTTCAAAAAAACCATGCTGTGAGGGCGTCAAAAGGCTTTTCGACTAGAGAAGCTGCAGAAGACACTTGTTCACGATCTTCTCGAGCGTCTTTGCCAAAACAGCGGTCAGACAGATCAGCTGGTAGTTATGCACTTTGCTTGGATTACCACCTTTCAATATTGGCTTCATGACTGAGCATTTCCAGTAGCCTGGTAATAGTCCAGTGGATAGTGACCTGTTGAACAGCTCAATTACAGAAGGCGAGATGATAGACCGATAGGAACTTGAGGATCAGTGGGTGGATTCCATCTGGCCCGGCGGGCTTCGTCCCGTCAAAACTTGTCAGAACCTTGCATACATCTTCAATGTTGCAATCCAGGCTGTCTAGTTCAGTGGGGGCGGTACTCGTCGAACTCGTTACAGACACTTGGTCACTTGCAAATACGGAGGCGAAGTGCGCCACCAATGCGGACGCACGATCTGTGCTCGAGGTTAGGGGCTGTCCAGCTGAGCTTTCCAAAACTGGCATATTGTCTACAGACCACAGGCGCCGCTTCACGTAGGTGTAGATCCGCTTGGGAACAGTTTTTGAGGCGGTTGCAAGCCGCTCTTCGAAACTTCTGCGCTTTTTTGTTTTCGCGTTGCTGCAAAGATTTCGCTGTATCTTGTACACCATGTAGTCCTCATCAGAACCAGATAAAACGAATTTGTTCCATAGTCTGCGTCGTTGTCGGCCCAGTTTGCTGTACTCCTTGTCCAAACAATGTGGTTTGACTGACAACTTTCCGGTACTTGAGGGGTACAAATCGGGTGCACAACGATTTCAATCCCACTTTAATGATAATCCACCAGGTTTAAATAGACGAATCCTCTGGTAAAGACCAGTCCATCTGGTTCGCTGCTCGAGTGAGGCTATTAAAGTCCGCCTTCCAATAGTTGAAGGCTGGCTCCAGCGGAGGAGAATCCGGTAGCGGCAGTTCCAAGCTGTCTATGATCACCGAGTGGTCACTCGCTCCCAAGGGCTCTAAGACTTGAATTTCGAAGGGTGTGTGGACATGTTAACGCTCCGCCAACTCTTCCAGCAGAGCCACCTTTATCGCTAGCTTAATATTATCGCCATTTTGGACACATGAGCCGCGTCTGACTCCGTCGATCGGCCGGTTTTGTGGCGTTGTCCGCAAAGGAATGGGGTACCCGAAAAGTGTACCGCCATACTTCGAGCTGTATAAAACAATGTCTGACAGTGAAGGCTTACGGTAAGCTCTCTTTACCTTTGCCGTCCCCAGCGGTGTGCGACAGGGATGATCCATGTCCCAATTTCTCTTCAAGTTCTCGATTGAAGAACTACTATTAGATGCTCTGGAAGGTCCCCAGGGTGCTGGCGTACAGCTTCTTCCAGACAACCGCGCGATTGACCTGGACTATGCTGATAATACTGACTTGATTGGTGACAGTCCACAGATCATGCAGGTCGTTCTAAACCGATTGGTGATTGTAGCTAGCAAGTATGGCATGATCTTCACACCATCGAAATGCAAGGTCCTATTCTAGGATTGGCATTCACCTGCCCCCGTGCTGATTCTTGAAGACGCGCAGCTTGAACAAGTCTATAGCTTCATCTACCTTGGGAGCTGCGTTTCTTCTGATGGTGCCATTGGAAGAAATATTTCTCTCCGTATTACCAAAGCCTGATCAGATTTCCCTGATGAGGGCACTGAGGCGTCGTCGTGACGTTTTACACTCGGTAAAGCGCAGGGTTAACAATGCATGTGTTCGCGCGGTCCTATTGCATGGAAGCAAGACCCGGCCGATCCGTGTAAATAAGGCATCAACAGTACGCCGGTACGTAGTACCGACGCTTCGCAGCCGCATAACCACCACCGGTAGCACGCGAGCAAGGATACTGTGAAGGTCACCCTGTTCCGAGGAAAGATCGAATACGCAGGGTCAGATTACTAGACAACCCCGTTACCTTTAGGCTACGGGCCGGATTTCGGCACAAGATAGCTCGTGTGTGGTGGGAACACCACGTTTGATAGGACCTCGCTCTCGACAAGCTGGGTCAACTGTGGTGGCCGCGTCACGTCCGACGCATGCCGTCCGTGCGTTTACCATGGCGCGCTCTATTCGCTGGAGCAGGGCTCCACGGGAAAAAGCAAGCGGTGGTCAACCTCCCACATGACAGCACGTCAATGCGCTGACTTCTAATCTGGCTGTTGTCAGCCCTGTATATTTACCGAGCTGCGGAGTCAGAAATGAAGAACAACGCCGTTTAGTGACCCCTGAGAAACACGGAAGCCGGAAAAAGGAAAGCTCGTATGAGTTTATGCATTGATTCTACTGAGCAACGGGGTGTGAAAAACACACATGAGCACTACTTGCTTTTATATATATATATATATATATATATATATATATATATATATATATATATATATATATATATATATATATATATATATATATATATATATATATATATATAGGCAGAGCAATCTGTAACCATGGAATGATTGTGCATAATAAGTACAAAGATCATAAAGTGGAAAACTTACAATGGAAAGTTTTTGTGTGCTTTTCACACCCCGTTTTGTCTACTTTCGTAAGTTTAGTGAATATGGTGTTGATCAGTAGAATCAATGCACAGACTTATACGGGCTTTCCTTTTTCCGACTTCCTTGGTTCATAAGGCTCTCTAAGCAGCGATAATCTTCATCTCTGACCCCCCACCCCAGACCGGAAAATGTACGGCGCCGACAACAGCCAGACTGAAAGTCAGCGCATTGACGTGTTGTCATGTGGTAGGTTAAATAAATGAATAAATAAATAAATTTGTATATTTCCCGACGAACGGTACACGGCCCCATAAGTGGGAGCGATCATGTTGACCACCAGAGTAACCTACTTTTTAATCACATTTTGCCAAGTTCGTTGTCTCGGTGTTTTGAATAGGGCTGATCGAATCCGATGAAGCCGCAATGCTCATATTAGGGGCTGCGAAACCGAAGTGGTATCTATAAAAAGCAAGGTCGATAGCTGGTTGCAACAGACCGGTGCCAAAAGAAAATTAAAAAACGATGGTGACGGAACTGTGCAATTGATGTCAGTCCCAAATGCCGCCTGCTAAGTTTAGAATGATGTGTGTCGAATACGTAGCATGTGGATGCCAATTAGTTTAATCGGACGAAATGCTACACAGCATAACTCCCTTGGAAAATTCCTGTAGCAGGCCCTTGATTGTATGTAGAAACAAGCTACAGGTAGTGGTTTCCTTCAACATTCTAAACGCTTGCTTCGAAGGAACAAGATAGTTTCCAGCTTAAACATGAGGCAAATGGTAAAAAAGCAGTGCGCTGTTCTGAAGAAGCAGGAAAGCGTTAAGCGAAATTACGCAAAATATGTACTAAGAAATCTGGATGCGTGAACGGTGTTGGAGCTTCTGCCGCGAAACATTTATTCTTAATAAGTGCAAGTGCCGACGTCTGTAGTATTTATGCCCCCATAAGTTGAATATGATTATGATTTGGTACCATGAGGTTTATCTGACGCGGTACTCAAGTGGAGCATGCTTTTTGTAACTATTAAGATAGGAGAAGTGGTGAAACAAAAGCAGGGGACAGAATACTTTTAGACGCATCAACTAAATTAGTACTCTGAGGTTGGAACATGGCATTGTTAGCAGAATAAATGTATCCATTGCAGGAATGGGCCAGGAGGACTTAGGAGTACATGCATCAATCTGATGACAGCTGTAAAAGAAGCAGCTATGACATGCTCTGAGTCTCAAGGTAACAAATGCAGACTGAGGAGGTTTTGATGGCAAGCGCTCAAAAACATTCCAGTTCGACGGGGAATAGAGCATAAGGAGCGATAAAATAGAAATAAGGGAATATATGTCTATTGATGAGCTGAGAAGAACTGTCATGATGCACGAGGATAAGATAGTAATTCCTAGAGCTGATGGTGCAGGCCATGAAAAATGCCGTTCTGAAACGAAAAAGTAGAATCAAGTGCCAAATGAAACAAATAGCTGAGATAAAGATGCATGCGGAAGAACCCCTGAGAAATGGTAGAAGTAAACGTTTTAGGGCGAAAGAAAACGAGACAAATCATGCTCTCGCAGTGGAGCGGTAGATGAAATAGAGGTGGAGCGAAATGTGATATCTAGACTCACCATGATTTCCTTCAATTCGTGCGTCTGTACACTATGCAAAGGTTGAAGAAAGCTTTCTTTTACGTGGTCCTCCATCGAATATTTTATGTCCGCCAGATATCTCAACGATTCTCCTGACTGGACGAGGCACTGACCTGTATTGACGGGATGATGTTAAACAGTGGTAAACAGCAATCCAAATAGGTTTACACGAAATCTTGATAAGCTGAGCACCGTCCGCGTCAGTATCGCAGCCGATAAAGTGACGCGAACCAATCTGAATGGGTGCCGGTGCTTAAGCAGACAACACAATCTATCGCCAGTAACTGCAGGCCTCGGCATGCATTGTTAGCTCATACTGAGCATGAATTGGTGACGAGATGACAAGCAAGCGGGGGATAAGCGATTAAGTGAAAGTTGAGTTTTGGAGTATCGGCTTTTCAATAACTAGGTTGATAAAAGTAGAAAGGGTTCCTATTGTATGACACTTAGCGCTTTGCTTACGGACTCTACTGGTTGTACAATCCGAAGTTCCAAACACTTTCTTAACCAGTTTTCGGTCAGCTTAACAACATGAACTGATATCACGTTTCTGCTAGATTGGAGTATACGAGATAGACTCAAAGGAAGCCAAAGAGATCCAACAAACTTCGGCGTTCGGATTAAAGTTGAGTAAGTGAAGTAAAGTGAGCTGCCAAGCCTCTGAGTAGCTCTTTTAATGAATCGTTTAGAGTGTATCAACAGGCATTTCTCATTTGTACTTAAGCAACTCAATGGCGTGAAGCACTGCTAAAGTAACATGAAAGTGACGCTGCAGCTTCATAGCTAAAAGAGGAATAAGGCGTCAGTGGTACGCAGGATCACCGTACTGACGATTCGGTGCAACGTGACCATTCGCAGTTGCACGTGGGCTGAGTATACCACGAGGTCACTCGCACTTAAGTGGACTCGAATCGTCGACCTTTGGATTACAAATCTACGGATCGAAGGTCTCCCACTAATGCGTTATTCGCACTTTATATGAGTGAATGCAACAACGTTCCGAGCACCTTTTCAGGCTCAATCAGGACCGTAAAATATCACAGAAATGACAAGGACTAAATTTTCAGGTGACACGCAAAATGTAATCAAAATCTCATGGTCAATGAGAAAGAAGATGGATAAAGTTGAACATACAACTAAGAACCCAATCAGGATGGCAGGATGGAAATGGGAATTAAACAACACGTCAATTACCATACGCTGAATCGGGGCCCAAATCATGACCATATTTTTTCATACAATCGCCAAGTAGACCTTCAGGTTGTGGATATGTAGTGGTTTTCGATTTCCCCTGCAATTTGCTTAGAGTATTCATGGTCAAAAGTCTGGCGCGATAGGCTGGGTTCGGTTGAAGAAATTCATGGGTTTGAGTGATGATTTCGTCGATGAGCCTGGCAATGATATCGACTTTCTAAGAGTTGTACTAGAGACAAAAGTATGCCACCATCGCTTACCTTTTCGGTTTCAAGATAGACGCCATCTAATTTGGTTCCTTCTGCCCCGCCAATCTTTTCGCTCACAAACTAGAAAAGACATAAATTAATAAAGCGGGAAAACAAAGATATTCGGAGAGCAATGAAAACAAAGAAAGTGTATGTGGATAAAGCCTGCTGAAGGGCGTTCAAGATCAGTTCAGCTGGCCCTCTGATTCCGGACATCTTCCTACTCAAATGATGCAGGATGAGCAATGGACGGTTAGTTTCGAGCAGGGGTTCTTAACCTGGGGATAATTACCTCCAAAGGGGTAAAACGACGTTTTACGGGGTTAGAGGTTAGTAAGAGGATTGGGTCATCAATCAGTCACAAAGCAATCTTAATAACAAAATGATCATCAAAACATGTAACTAACTACCTATTCACCGTAGATTAGGCATCAGTGACTAGTCACTGGTCACTGCGAATAGATGACGCCTCTAACGGCTCTCGCGTCTATTGTTGTTCATTTAAGTCAGACCGTCGTTTGCCTGGCCGAATTACAGTACTGAGTCGATTGAAGACTAGTAGTGGAACAGAGGGCAGCCGACCAGATAAAGTGGCGGGAGAATCTCTACACTTTAGAAGGGGGCAAAACGAGCGATTAGCGCCCACAGAGTTGTGGTGGGAAGCTGTCGTGCAAGAATGACTTGGAATGGAGAAATGAAACACATGAGAAGCCACTGACATTTGTCCATGTGTGATCCGGAATCACACACGAAAGGCTCATATGATGCCTTGGATAGTGGCAACAGCAAAGGTTTTGAAGTGCGCAAAAACATTGTGTTTGGGGTCACAAAAGCAAAGCAAATAGAGCTGATTAGAAGCGAGTAATGATTTGGTATTGGGTTGATCACATTCATCGACAGTTGTTTTTGACGAGAAGTCATAGCAGGTGAGTGCATTAATTCGATAGATTTTAATATCGATAATAATGAGTTTGTCTGCTAGGTGTTATACAAACATGAGACCTAACTGCACAACGTTTTTGTAGGAATCATGTCCGCTGGAAAAAAGCGGCCATACAGAGAAGATTTTCTGCGTTGGGGCTTCACTAATTTTGTCGATAAACATGGGAAGAAACCGCAACGTGTTTTGTGCAGCAAAGTGCACACGGCGGAGAGCATGAAACCCAGCAAACCAAAAGAACATTTGGGACAAAGTCATTCTCAGTTAGAATGAAAAGATATTACATTCTTCACAAGTAAAGAAGTTGCGTTTAAAAGTTTGCGCCTGGATACATATGGGCTCCTTTTTTCAGGCAACTGTAGCTGGTCTTAAAGCTTCGTACCGCATCGCTCTTCGAATCGCCCCATACTTTAGGACAGAATGACATCAATCCTTGCACTGCAGATACCGTTAAGCTCATTCTTGTAGAGCAACATGCGGAAAAGTTAAGTATGATACCACTTATTAAAAAGCACCATCAAAAGTCGCATCTAGGACAAGAGCAAAAATATTTTGGACACGGTGCTCAGTCAATTCCTATTTTCACGCAACCGTCGACTGACGTCGCATCATGTTCCCAACTGCTTGTCTATGTTCAGTACATAAAAAGGGGACGCCTTCAAAGAAAAGTGCTGGATTCAGAACCGTTGAGCACAACTACACATGGCGAAGATGTCATAAGAATAGTGAAGGATTTAGTCGAGGAAATGGAGCTACAGTGGTCGAAGTTGGTGGGTTTTTGTACAGACGAAGCACCAAGTATGTTCGTTCCGGATTCTAAACATTAGTCCAAATATTTCCTAGGCACGCTAACTTTAGCAGTGAAACTACTCCGGCTGCTTTGCTGAACACGTTAACTAATGTAGGGAAGAGAGTAAATGTCATCCTCGGTAGTGCGACAAATACAAGAGTTTTCAAAGAGTTGTGCAATGAATTGAGGCAAATTCGACGGGATGTTATTGCACACAGAAGTGCGTAGGTTATCACGAGGCGAGGTGTTGTAACCAGTACTCGAATTTCGAGAAGAAACAGCTATGTCCCTTGAAAGGAAGTAGCTGCTAAGGATAAGGAAAACGGGTTACATGTAGTATCCAGAAAATGTGTTTATTTCTAAACCGGCATAGTGTGCGGATTTCTTCGGAGACAAATGCGCTGAACCTCAGCTTGCAAAAAAATATGACAAATATTTTAACTACTCAAGATAGGGTCGCCAGTTTCCTCCACAAATCGCAGCTTTACCAGCGCAGAGCGGTTGTAAACGAGGTTCCCATGTGTTCAGAACTACCAATGGTGCTCAACAGAAGTAATGAAAAATAAACATTCGTAGAATCACTAACTCGCCACTTATCCCCCCCAATGGTACATATCAGCAAATATCTTCCTGATTTGGAAAATCGCCAAGTAAATGCCCGAGTACTAAGAGGCTTTCGAGTGGCTGAAACAGTATTTCTAGATACTGAAACCAAAGTCAAAGTGCAATTCCTAGAAATTCGCGAAAGGAACGCAATGAAAATAGATTTCCACAGCACACAACCAGTAGCAATTTGGATAAAGGTAGGCTATCGGAAAGCCCATTCAGAATATTGATCCCATTTCCAACAACTTAAAGGTGTGAAAGTGGATTTTCAACAAGGGTGACAATGAAAACAAAAGCAAGGAATCGAATGAACTTGGAGCACGAATAACGGTGTGCATTAGCCGAAACTGCACCAGATACACCAGAAACACATACAAATAAGCCATATCAACCATCTCATTGACGGATATCGCCTCTTGATTTTATAAAAGTTGCACAAAAATAGCTGGCTTCTTTAGTAAATGATCCAGAGTAATTAAAAATGGCTATCATTTTCGTAATTAAAAGCAAAATGCGTGACATTTGATCGTTAATTAGATTTAAAACCGGAAACGTGTTTGGGGGGAAATGAGTAGAGTAAACTCGATTCGTGAGTAACAGTCTTAAAAACGTTAAGAACCGCTGGATTAGTGACTGCGTCGGACGCTGATGTCCGAAACGCGATCACAACCCACAATCGTTTTCGTGCTGCTGGCTCGGATTCCCTCCCACATGCACTATTTAACGATGGAGGTGAGGTCCTCTGCAAAGCACCGAACTACCTGTTCGAACATGTCTGGAAGAAACAGAGCGTCCGGGCTAACTGCTGACATACAAGAACGGCAGACGCATCGACCGTGCTAATCACAGGGGAATCAGTCTAACGTCAGTTGTGACAAAATTACTGGCCTCGATTCTCGTTCGTCGCCTCCCAACGGAACGGGAAACTCGGATTAGGGAATAGCAGGCCGGTTTCCACCCAGGACGTGGCTGTATAGACCATATATTCCCTTTGCGGCAGATGCTAGAGCAACGCCACGCATACCGCTGATCAACAATAGCTGTATTCCTCGACTTCAAGAGTGCGTTCGATTCAGTCGATCGATGCATTCTGTCCGAACTACTTGTGCGTAAAGGTGTCCCCACGATATATGTGAACATCTTCCGTGCACTTTACTCGAAAACTATAGGCCGCGTCAAGATCTACGGTGATCTGCCGGATAGCATTCCGACCATAGGTGGCGTTCGTCAGTGTTACCGGAATGCGCCCATAGCAGCCAGCTCTCGCTCTCTCTTTGAATGAAGCAACCCGAAGATAGGTTGTATGCTGCCTGTAGACGATTGGCTAGCCAATGAGAGTAAGCCAATGGCAACGTTTTAATTTGAAGTGGGCCAATCAGAATGATCTACTTGAAGCCCTCTAATAATCACACTACTTGATCAGCCAAGCCAGTTTTTGCGCATCTAGTAGTTGTTATAATCAGGAATTTGCAATTAGGTATTTTCTGTCATGAACTATTTATTTTGGCCCAATATTTTGGTTGTACCTTCTGTCTTCCGGGTGCGCTATATAAGTTCCGCCAGAGGCCTTTGACTTCCGATTTTGGAAGTGGCTGTATCTTGACCAGAAAAGCTGCATCAGTTAGCCATACTGTCAGCGGAAACACAACAGTCGTTGGCGACGGGAGCAGAGCTATTCAAGATAACAATCTCGGCAGAAGATTAGAAAGCAGCAACTCGAGTCGGCACAGCAGCGTATGATGGAGATATTCACATGAACACTATCGCTCCAGTCTACATCAGTCCAGAATGCTGAGAAGCTCTCAGTTTATGCAATAATCAACAGTGTCAGTGAGTTTGTATTCGATCCCGATTCAGGACTGCTTTTCGATGCATGGTTGAGACGTTACGGAGATATACGTGAAAATGGGTTCGGGTTTGCACTATCCGAATGGCCAGCTGGTAGGTGAGCCAACTGACATCTGCGCGCCACTGATGGCTGTTCGCCTACGACTCGGAAGAGGTAAGTTTGTCACTTTTATAAGCACCTACGGTCCGAACATGTGTTATCCTGATGACACGCGTGATCAATTCTACACTCAGCTATCCTCCGTGATACGGTCTGTGCCGAGGAATGACCTACTATTTGTGCTGGGTGATATCAACACGTGCGTTAGGCGTGATGCAGCGGTGTGGGCAAACGTTGGCAGTTCGCATGGCATTGGTTCAGCGAATGCGAACGGTGACAGGCTGTTCTCACTGTGTGCCATCATCATCATCATCACACTACACGTTAGCTGGAGGTGGTGAACACCTCAGCTACTGTGCCGCAATACATAGAAAAAAAGAAGAAGAAAAAGCAACTGGTGCAAGCTGGCTGAGTTACCGGTAACGGATGGGCATCGTTCCGATAAGCTACCAGCCGGCTGTTGTGCACCAAAATTACTATGCAAAATTATATAAGGCTAAATAATGAGATCGTGGTTGGAGGGGGAGGCTAAGAGGGATAGGGTGGGACAAAGAAACTCACAGCACGAACGCCACTGAGGTCGGCTCCTAGCCATATCAGTAAGTGTGTCCAACCAAACGTGTTCATCATCTTTCTGACCATAAAGAGGGAGCCGAGATGCTCCAACCGAGGCCAGCCCAGAAGTGAGCGACTTCATTCCTCTGGACCAAGTCATGGCTTGGTCACCTCTCCTATTTTTCCATCCACACCCCCGGCGCGCAAACGACACACGTCGCGGGAGTCGGTGGGCTGGCATG